CTTTGCATTGATGCATTGATCGCCCATGGTCTCCGCCTGACCTCCCTGCTCCCAGGGAAGCAGTCTCCATGGCTACTGGCCCTTCTCCTCCAGCGCAGACTGTAAATTCCTGCAGGCAAAGCCCAGCCTTGGGGGTGCGAGGGGGGGAGCCGGGAAGGAGTAACCAAAGCCAAATAGAAAGAAAGAAAGGCTGGGAAGAAAAAGGGCGTTGCTTGGATGGGGCTCTCCTTTCCACTCCCCTTTCTCAGGTCCCCAGCACCAGGGCAAGGCGCCTGCTTCCCCCCTCCAGCGCTCCTGCTGCTGCTGCTGCTGCTCTCTTGCAAAACTGGAATTGGCTGGGATTATTTTAAGGAAAAAAAAAAAAAAAAAAGGGGAAAAAAAAAGAGAGAGAGAAGGAGAAGGGATCAGAGCAGCCGCCAGAGAGAGGGCGATAGAGTCCACTTTCCTCCAACTGCCCTGGGTCTCCTTCCCTCACTCTCTCTTTAGCAACACCAAGAGCCCCAAACTGAACCCAGAGCAGCTTTTTCCATCAGTTCAGTTCCCTTCCCTCCCTCTGTCTCACACACAGCACGAAGAGAGCCCCTTCCTCCCCTTGATTTTCCCTTCGCATGCTCAGCCTCTTGTTTCCTTTAAAGCACTAGAAATCCCCCCTTCTTGCCCCTACTCCTCCATGCAGACTGGGATTGCAATGGGAGCTTTGCAGATTGCTGGATTTTCCATCCTTTTCTTTCTCCTCCACTCTGGAAACACGTTGGCAAATAAAGCCAGTCAAGGTAAGAGAAAAAAAAAAACAACAACCAACCTTCCCAGCTCGAAGCTTTGCTGTTTGATGTGTGGATGAGGCAGCCGGACCTCCTCTTTAGGTCTGGGGTTTTATGTGCAGGCTGGAGAAATTAGCAGCAATAACAACAAATAGTGGAGGGGATTTTAAATGTTGCTTGCAGATATTCGTGCCTGCTGCCTCTGATTGGGGTTGGGTTGTTGTTTGGTTTTTTTGTAAACTCTTTCATGAGTTGCGTTTCTTACACTTTCTTCTTTCTTTTTTTGTTTGTTTTGGGCGCTTTATCTCAAGGCAGGGGGTGCAGAGGCAGAAAACGAGGGTGGGTGGACAAGTCTGTACCCGTCACAGGGGAGGTGTTGTTGTGGGGAGAGGTTTGGGGGGCTTTGCTGCTTTGGGGGGGTTCGGTGCCTGGAGATGGGGCTCAGCCCCAGGGCGCTGCGGGAGGGCTGGGGTCGGACTGGGCTGAGGGCAAGGACGGGGTGTCCTGATCACTGGGAAGGTTATATCTGTGTTTTGTGTATTTTCCATCGTGGGGTGAGTCTCCAGGGGTCGTGCTCTGGGGGTGGTGTTGGGCTGCAGGAAACTTCGGGGAGCTGAACACGGCAA